AGAAGAACAATTACAAAAGCTGCCACAAGAGAGACGTCTATCTTTATTTATTTATTTTTTTGTCTATAGATTTTAAAAAAGTTTTCCTTCATGCATGAACGTGCATGTGAGGGTTGAATCTGTATCCCCCACTTCTTTTTGTTTCTTTTTGATTTCCTCTTTATTTTTTTTCCTGTTTGTGTGTACACGAAAATTTGAGTGTTTGCCTTTCAATTTTATTTGTTTGCTTGTTTTTGCTTTTCTGTTCTTGTTTTTTAGTTCAATGTGTGCATGAATACATGTGTGAGGGTTTGATTTGAATTCTTGTTTTTTTCTTTTTCTTTTCCTGACATTTTGGATTGGGAGTGTGATTATTTTTCCTCTTTTTGTTGTTGTTTTTTGTTTTGTTTTGCTTTGTTGCTATTCCAGTTTGTTTCAGAGAGAGAGAGAGAGAGAGAGAGAGAGAGAGAGAGAGAGAGAGAGAGAAGAGTGAGACAGAGAATGAATCATCTGCTTCCTAGGAAGGCCAGGGGAGCCCAGATTGCAAGCTGGAGTGGAGAGACAGAGCCCGAAGCCACGCCCCAGAGACTAGAGGCAGAAGACAAGCCAGTTCTTATGCATATTGAAGAATTAAAGACTTTGGAAGGAACCTGGAAGGTTCTCTTTAGCTTGACTGCCCATGTGTTGTAGGAATCTTCTTGACTAGAGAGACAGGAATTCTTGGACACATTCAGCTCTGAAGGGGCTGGCTTTGAGACTGGCAGAGGGAGGACTCCAGGCTCTCTGGAAAGGATTCCTTTCAGAAGCTGCACAACCAGGCCTCCATGCCACTTCCAAGGCTCTTGGCTGTGACATGTGCTTTGCACCCTGACAGGTTCCCACTGTGGGAAGTGCAATTCTGAGCTCTGTCCAGAACCATCCCAGAAGGAGGGGCTGCTGGGATGTACCATCTCTAGTAGGGGTCTGGAGGCAGGTGGAAAGGAGGAGGTGAGGACTAGGTCTCCAGTCTTGGTGGGGGTGGAAGGGAGGAAGTGAGAACCAGTTCTGCAACCTTGGGAGGGGTGATGGCAGCCGTGGGGAGACAAGCCCTTGGGAGAGAAGGTAGATGTGGAGCAGGGATTTAGAAACAGGACTATCCCCTGGGGTGCAGTGTCCACGGTGAGGAAGGTTCTCACACAAATTAGGACACAGTGAAGTGTGTCTCTGAGTCTTGTCTTGTCTTCAGTCTCAGTGGTGTTGAGAGGAGCCTGTGGTGTGAGCAGGGATAGAGGTGACGGAGAGCTCAGGAGGTGCAGAGCCAGGAGCCGTTTTGCTGTGGTCAGGGGAGCACAAAGGGAGAACCTGGCAGGGTCATGGTGGGGGCTGATGGGTGCTGCTGAGTTTGGGAAGGATTAGGAGGGCAGAAGAGAGTGTAGACTGCAGCAATGAGACTTTCTTGGGCCAAGCGCCGTCGGTGGGGTGAGGAGACAGTACATGGTGGCAGCTCACACGTAGGCACGAGGTCAGCCAGCAGGTCAGCCAAGGGGTGTGACAGAACAACTCAGCTGGGGACAGAGTGGGGAGGACAAGCAGACGATGGGAGCAGCAAAGCCAGAAGTCAGGGGCTCCTCCAACCTCGCACCACTCCAAATCTAGACATAATCAGCTCACGATCCCAGCCAGCTGTGGGGCCTGCGAATACCTAGAGCTTTTTCATGATTTTTGCTAATTCCCAGATGGTCTCCTGCCACGGCCGCTGTGTGTGGAGGTTCTCTTATAGTTAACTCCTGTTCCTCTGGGTGCATAGCTCAGGTCCCCTTCCCCTTCCCGATCCATTCCCCTCCTCCAAACCCTTCCCCATTCTCCCTCCGCGTTCCCCATCTCTCTGCTGAGCATCACATGCCACAGTGCACTTCCGTCCACCTACAGTTTTTCTTCCTTCGCTTTCCTTCCATATCAACTTCTCACATGTCACCTCCCAGATTTAAATCCCCACTTTCCGCCCAGATCCAAAATCACCTCGTTTGGTTGCAGAGAACCACTTTCCACTCTCCTCTGAATGCATGGTGAGAGCTGACACCCAAGTCCTGGGGACTATGATGTGTTTGTGTGTGGGGGGGGCGGTCCAGGACTAGTCACTTTGTGTCCAAAATTCATGTAAAAAAAAAAACCAGTTTACATGCAGCCCTTCTTCCCAGGACTCTGTTGTTTCTCTCTCCAGAGTAGTTAAGGTTAGAGCTAGGTATTAATTTCTCCTCCCTCAAGAAAACATGAAGAATGAAGTTGCAATTTTTTTTCTTTTTTTTTTTACAGAGTCTCATTTTATCGCCTAGGCTGAAGTGCCATGGCACAATCATGGCTCACCACAGCTTCGACCTTCTGGGCCCAGGCAGTCTTTCTGCCTCCGCCTCTCAAGTAGCTGGGACTACAGGTGCATTCCATCACACCCAGCAATTTTTTTTATTTTTTGTAGAGAGGAGGTTTCAATATGTTGCCTAGGCTGACCTTGAACTCCGGGCTTAAGCAATCCTCCTTGGCCTCCAAAAATGCTGGGATTACAGGTATAAACCACCACACCCAGTGAAAAGCATTTTATTTTATTTATTCTATTTTATATGAATTGGAGTCTCACTCTGCTGCCCAAGCTGAAATGCAGTGGCATGATCACAGTTCACCACAGCCTCGACTTCCTAGGCTCAGATAATCCTTCCGCTTCAGCCTCCCAAGTGGCTAGGACTACATGCATGTGCCACTATGCCCAGCTAATTTTTAAAATTTTTTTGTAGAGACAACGTCTCACTCTGTTGCCCAGGTTTGTTTCCTGCTCCTGGGCTCAAGCAATCCTCCTGCCTTAGTCTCCCAAAGTACTGGGATTACAGGTGTGAGCTACTGCACCCAGACAGGAAGTTGTAATTTTAAAGAAAAAAGTTGAGTCGCAGAAAATCCCAGAATGCAGATGTGTCACTCCAAAGGGAAGTGTTCATGCAAATGGCCAAATTCTATGCCTGTCAGAGGCTACAGGGCTCAAGATGGGGCAGGACGGCCAGCTCTTCTCCTGCTTCTAGGTTTGGTCAGATGCTCCCTGTGCCCAAGGGCCAGGGTCCCTGTGTGGTTACTCACAGGGGACAGGTTTCTGCTCAACCTGCTGGTTGCAGTCTCCAGACTCTTTGGCCTAGGTACTAAGCTCAACTATCCCTCCAGGTTCCCATCCTAGGAACCATCCATGTCTCCCTGACAACTTTCCTTTCGAGTTTCAGGCAGACGGTAGTTGACGGGGCCATCTGGATGGAGACCAGGGACTTGGGCTTGTGTTTTCCAGGCTGCTTGTCTCTGACGGGTCCCAGCTCCATAACTGGCCCCATGGGGGGTTCTCTACTTGTGCAATGTCGGTATGAGAAGATGTACAAGGGCCATAACAAATACTGGTGCCGAGGACAGCATGACACCACGTGTGAAAGCATTGTAGAGATCGAGGGAGGAGCACAAGAAGAGAGGAACGGCCGTGTGTCCATCAGAGACCATCCCGAGGCTCTCACCTTCACAGTGACCATCGAGAACCTCAATGCAGATGACGCGGGGTCTTACTGGTGCAAAATCCGGACAATATGGATCCTGGATGTGTGGTCACGTGACCCCTCAGTCCTGGTGAAGGTGTGTGTTTCCCCAGGTAAGAGCTCCCCTCATTCCAGCAGCAGAGTTTTGGGGTATGACCGAACAAGAAGACAAAGGTTGGTGACACTCTGAAGTGTGTCTGTGAGTCTCATCTTGTCCTCAGTCTCAGTGGTGTTGGGAGGAAACTATGGCGTGAGCAGGGCTAGAGTTGGCTGATCTCTCAGCCTTGGGGTGGGTTCAGGAGTTGCATAGCTCAAGAATCTTTACTCCTGTTCAAAGATGGGCAGGTCTATCTGTGCAAACCCACTCCTGAAGTCAAAGAAATCTGAGAGGCCGAAGAAAGACGTTGACAATTCTAGTTCCTCAGAAAGAAGCACTTAATGGGGAGTTATGAACAGAAGTCAAGACAAGACATGGGTCCCTGCACCATTGACTCCCCAGACCCAGGGCTTTTATACCACAGGGAAGGAGCATGCAGGACAATTGAAGTCAGTCCCCCAGGGAGAGACAAGAATGCAATGTGAATCTTTTAAGGGCAGAGTTTATGGGCAAGGTTGTTTTGACCTAAGGGTACATGCTCTTACATAAGGAACAGTAGACAAAATGGAAATCTTGAAGGTCTTCCCAGAACTGGGGTTAATCAGAAGTCACTAGGGCAGATTAGCATCCAAGATGGAGTTGTTCCCATAGTGCCTGGGCCTCACCTCATTGCCTGTGGAGGCCCCTCCATGCTGAGCCAAAGCTGCCCTTCGGAAAGCCTAGGCCAAAGGAGACAAACTCCCATACCTTTTCACCCTCCTTGCAGAACATCCCTCTGCCATGCTGTCCTAAAATTAGCCGTGCCCGGGCATCTTGGGTGGAAGCTACTCTTTGTCTTACCATATGCTCAGATTCTCCCAGTCCCCATCACAATTTCCTTCCTATTATCTTCCACCGGCTTCCTTTGTGTCAGATGGCCACACCCACCCTCTACCTGTACTTGACATTGGCATCCGGGTCACTCCCTCACATTCAGTGGGGACCTGCCAGCTTCTCCACCCCAACCTCTACCATTATCTTGGCAGTTATCAATGAATGATATGTCAAACATTCTTGCCTTGGGTTCCCTGGCCTTCTCAACTTTGGTTTGGCCTTTCTTTCCACTCCCTTTGCAAATCCTACTCCATGGTGACATCCCAACCTCATCCATGTCTAGAATCCTATACTCAGATATTCTACTTTCTGACAACTTCTCGTGGACCTGCCCTCCCACCCTCTTGCCCTGATTCCTGTTCTCAGCCTCACAGAGACCTTCAGTACTTTGATCCTTCCTTCTATTTCCCCCCAATTTATTGCTTCCCTCACTCCCAACCTGACCTCACTTCCTTCTTGGACCAACTTGAACCTTGACAATAGACCACATTTTCTTCTCTCACTAACACCTTAACTCCCATGTACCATTTCTTTACCTACCTGACAAAAGCCTCATCCCTGGTCCCATCCTAAAATTAAGATCATTAATCATCCCAGTTTGCCCAAGAATAAGGGGTTTTCTGGGATGTGAGACTTTCGGTGCTAAGGCTGGAAAAGTCCTGGGCAGACTGGGACAAGTTGGTCGCCCTAAGATCCATCTGCTCTAGTGCTGCTGTGAAAAAGAGGGACAAAAGGGGGCATATGGCTGCTAGTAGAAGTTCCCAGTTCCCTGTGTCATCCTCCCAAACTTCTGCCTTGCCAAGAACACACAGGGCATCAATTTTCTTTCCTTCTCCACTTACAAACTTCCGTGCAGTCGAACTTATCCTTCTTCCTTCTCTCTCTGGTTGGAGATAAGGCTTCCCCTTCCTGTCCAAGGACAATTATCGAGGCTGGTTGCCTGCCTTGTAGGCTGTTGCCTCCCCATCCCCTTGGAACAAATTCTCTCTTAGCTCATCCACGTTCTTCTTCCCTCACTTATCTTTGCCATCTCCTGTCCTCAGACCCGTCCTCATCACTGCTCTTCAGCAGCCTGTCAACACGCTTGTCTCTCCCATCCTCAAAGTATCCCACGGACCTCCAGCTGCCTCTGCTGGATGCCTCCTTTCTGCTTGCCTGGAAGGTGGATCAGCCTCCTCCTTCGTGCTCTGTCTCACCTAGTGGTGACCTTCCAGATGCCATCACTTTCTATTGAAGTTGGTCTATCTGTTTTAGGGTCTCTGCTCCTCCATCAGGGTGGGCTAGTTCACATCCATCAATGAATCACCAATGGTAGAAAGGTCAAAGGTTGTTGGATCCCAAGAGCCTGTGTGGCGTACCCTGTGAAGAAGTGAACCTCCAGGACGACTGCTTTTGGAGATGAGCTGGGAGTACAGTAGGGATGGGGGTGTAGGTTGTGCCAGTAGTTTGGACACCTGAAGTCCTTGGGAGGAGCTGAGTGGCAACCTACCCCTTCCCTAGAGATGGGTTAAAGTGGCCCATAATATTCTCCACATGGAAGGTGCTCGAAGCCTCCTGTCATGGTCTTTATGAGGCTTTTGGGTCTCAAGCTAAGCCATAATCCTTCAGACGCCTTCTCCCTTTGGAACACATCAGACTAAGGAAAACCCAAGAGACTCCTGCCCTCACCCTGGGCAGAATCAGACTTTGGGTGGAAAGAAAGGCCTGGCTTTTGTTAGGGGTGAGTCATGGCCAGTTCTGGCAAGGGCTCCTTTGGCCCCTGAGGGACTTTACTTAAGAGGTGCCCTGGGCTTGGCTTCAGAGTATCTCTTGGGCCCCTTCTGTAAGTGGATGATTGTGTGCAATATCAGCTCCAAACAGGGGCTTCATGCATGGCTGGGGACAGAGCAGCAGCCTGATGCATGACTTTCATCTCCAACAGCTACTACAACCCCAAGGAGGGCCTCACAGCCAGCCATACCTCCTGTCTTCCCGTTGGTGAACCCCAGGCAGAACTCCAGTGCCAAGGACATGTCTACCCAACACCCAGGGTAAAGGCCCAAGACCTGGAAGTCAAGACTGGGAAAGGCCTCTGGGGTGGGATCTAGGGGTGGCAGCCCATCATTACTTAAAAACTTCACTATCTGCTGTTATTTTCTCTAACCCTGGTCCTGATTTTCACATTCTCCGAGGCTGCATGTGGATGTTGGGTGGGAGATGTCCCTTGTGCTGTGAACATCCTTCCCTATGGAGCAGCTATAGGGACCCAGGTCAGAGGTTGAGTTCAGTGGACATGCAGTCCCATCTCTTCTTCCCTTCCTGCTCACAACTTGAGGCCCCGGTCTGTGGCCCCTCTCAAAGGTCTTTGCTCAGCATCTCCCTTCTCTCCCAAAGATAGCCAGGAAGGGCTGTGATGCTGCTGCCAGAACCTGAGGGGAAGGGGTGAGGGACGGAAGTGTGAAGGTGAGAGTGGGGATTGCTTTCAAGAGGTCAGTTGATAAAGCAGAAACTGTGAGTGAGAGAAGGACAGAGGGAGAGGCTTCTGGAACATGCATCTGGAAAGCTGCAATGGCTTGGGTCCTTCCTTTCTCTTCTCTCCATCACTTCTTTAGAATGAGACTCCCGGCCGGGCCTGGTGGCTCAGCCTGTAATCCCAGCGCTTTGGGAGGCCAAGGTGAGTGGATTGCTTGAGCCCGTGGGTTCGAGACCCACCTGGGGAACTTGGAGAGACCTCATCTCTACAATAAAAAAAAAAAAATTAGCCGGGCGTGGTAGCGCACGCCTGTAGTTCCAGCTACTCGGAAGGCTGAGGCGGAAGGATCGCCGGAGCCCAGCAGGTCGAGGCTGCGGTGGCCGGGAGCGGCCACTGCACTCCAGTCTGGGCGACAGAGTGAGACTCCAACTCAAAAAAATAATAAATAAATAAATAGAATGAGACTTCCTGAGGCAGTGCTTGACCGAGGGGAGAAGGATCATGGGGCCACAGAGAGGGACGGTCCTGGTGTGGGTTCTTTCCTGGTTTGAACCTGAGTTATTGGGACTCCAGAGTCAGGGACAAAGAGCAGTGGGGAGAGAAGATTCCTGGGGCCTCCCCTTGACCAGGCAGCTCATGTCCTCTCCCTCTGTCCCCACAGGTCCCTACTCAGCAGCGTCCACTTTCTGCTCCTGATTTTCCTGAAGCTGCCCCTGTTCCTGGGCATGCTGGGGGCCATCCTCTGGGTGAACAGGCCTCAGAGAAGCTCTGTGGGGAGGCAGAGCTGGCCTGGCCAAGAGGCCTGCAGGGCTCTGTCCCCAGGAATACCCTGTGCAGGGAGTCAGTCCTTCAGACTGGATGGGAGAGGCTTGTGGACTCTGGACTCCAGGGCAGGAAAACAGCAGTGACCGAATTCCGAGGGAATTATTGTTCCTGTGCCTCAAAGGGGGTCCTGGATCTTATAGGACAATCCTTTGGAGTCCTCAACATGAAGAAGAGAACGAGACTCTTCGGGGTCCTTGCTTGGGGGTCCTTCTTTTTCCTCCTTAGATTCCCTAGGCCCTGTCCTCATACCCATCACCCAAGGGAAAGAATTCTCTAGAAGTTGTCCAGGTGGGGTGGCACATGCCTGAAGTCCCAGCTAGTCAGGAGGCTGAGGTGGGAGGATCACTTGAGCCCAGCAGGTTGAGGCTGCAGAGAGATGTGAGCGCACCACTGCACTTCAGCCTGGACAACCGGACAAGATCCCGCCTCTTAAACAAACAAACAAAAAGAATTCTCTGGAAGTTGCATGCTCAAGAGCCTGGTTCTTTGTTCTCCTTAGCGCAAAAGCTTCTTAGCTCAGTGTCCCCCAGGGAAATAACCACCCCCTTCCTGCAGACGAGAGGCTTCCTGAGGATGACCTCCTCACCACTTCAGTCTCTGGGCTCACAAGACTCGGTCCCTGCCTCAGGGACAACCCCAGAGGAGTTTGGTCCTTGGAGAGCTTGCTCACGCAGCTGCCCACTGTCCTGTGTGCTCAGTGTTCCTTCCTTCTTCAGATGCCCTTTGAGTCTCCCTCGATTTAAGCCTCCTTCTGCAACCAAAGAGACTGTGGGTGGGCTCCTCTGCCTGGGCAGGCCTTGGCTGAGCGGCTCCAAGTTAAAGTTCTGGGGCAATTTGGAACAGTAATGAGAGGAGGAGGTGGTGACTGCCCCTAATACCAGTTCTGGAATTCCTCACCTGGAAGTGTCCTGTGTGCAGGGCCATCGGAAAGTCCAGCTCTGTCCACTTTAAAGTCTGGCAGAGGCCACCTGCTAGCAGTTCACCTTTTCCATAGGAGAAACACACGTCGTTTTTCAAAGATGGGATGTAGGGCACAGAGGCGAGGAGATACTGTACCATGCTGGGATGGCATAATGCTACAGTCACCACTGGGCAGCCCTGGCTCAGGATTGGGCTTGATCTTTTGGGGGGAAGATTTGTCAAGGGCTCCCTCCCTAAAGTTTGTGGGAAGAACCGGCACAGTCTACCTTACATTAATGTCACCATCACCACTCACTCTCTGCACCTGGACCAGCCCTCTCCCTCTACCCCCACGTGCCCATCTGAGCTAGTGATGCTGGTTTCTAGAGCACATGCCAAGAGTCCCTCTGAGTGCTGAGTCCTCAAGGAGAGCCACCACGCTCTGGACCTGAGCCCTGATGCAGCTCCTACAAGGACGGGTGACCCATGGTGACTCAAGGAAAGCTAGAGTGGGCCCAGGACTCATGTTGAAGCAGAAAATCAATCTAATGAGACACATATCAATCATACCAATCACAGATACACAAGGCCATGCAGGAAGCACACGGGTTGGGTAAGAGAAGGCACTTACGACGTACTCTATGAAAAAAATATGTTCACAAGTCAGTACAGCATATGAACTTGTGAGAGCCACAGGAAAGCCAGAGGCAAGGTGCTTCCTGATGTCTGACGGAGGACATCTCGTCAGATTGGCCAGATCAGAAAAAGGAGGTGACATTCGAGTATACTGTTGAAAGGGGTGTAGGATTTCAGTTGGACAGATGCCGGGGAGCAGAGAGAGAGGCGGGAACTAATCAAGACAACAATCACTCATAGAAGATCTATTAGCAGATGGAGTGAGCTGTTCATATACAGTTTCTCAGGGTGAGGTGTATCGAAGATCCCAATGGAGGGACATTTTTCTTGTGACAGGCAAATGGTGCTGGCCCAGGAGAACTGAAGTAGGGGCACGCGGTGGAGGCTTAGGACTCAACTCCTACTTAAACTTTGATTGGAGACACTTGGATGGACTTGAGCAGATCGAGATGGGATCATGGATGTGTTCTAGGAAGACTTTTCTGGCAGAGGTATAGAATAGTCTGAAAGGAAGAGTCTAGGAGTCTGATGTCTTAAACCTGGAAGGCCAGAGGAATGGTCCATTGCTGACAGAAGGAGGAGAGTCAGGAGCAGACTTGGATGTTGCAGAGTTACTGCTCTTTGTGTGGCTGGAATTCCCATGCAGAGATGTCTAGAAGAAAGCAAGAGATGTGGGTGAGCAGAGGTAGGGAGGAAGCACCAAGACCAAGGTGCTGGAGAAGGAACAAACAGGTAGAAGATGAAGTCAAGGGCCATGAATGTTTCTAGGAGAGCAGAGCCAGAGAGGCAGAGGTGGGCCAGGAGTGAGAGGAAGCCATTTCACTTCCCAAGGTCACTGGCGAGGTTCAGAAGAGCAGATCCACAGAACATCATGGGCATAAGCCAGATGGAAAGAGTAAGGAAAGAGTAGACAAATTGAGAGGATGGGGAGGTAGCAGATGCAGGAGAAAAGGTCAGTGGCTTTCCCTATGCTTTGGATTTTCTTCTCTCTTTTCCTTCTTTCCTCTCTCCCTCCCTCCCTCCCTCCCCATTCCCTCCCTTTATTCTATTTTTCCTTTCTTTTTCCCTTATTTACTCACTCACTCAACAAACTTTTGCTATGTGTCTATGGTGCATTGTTCTTGGAATTACAGGTAAAGACTTAAACAGTGCAGAATCCCTACTCCCCAAAAGGGAAGATTAAGAAATGGACTACCAACGGCAGTGCAGAGAGTGTGCCAAGATCTATGTCAGAGGTCTGAACAGTTCTGTGGGGGTGCAGAAGTGAGGCACTCGCGTGGGGCCAGGCCGAGAAGGAAAATTGAGGGCTAGGTGTATAAACAGTAAGGCAGAAGATGGGGGGAATGGCAGGGAAAGGTCATAGAGCATGCTGGGTATCAGGACATTCCAGGGACACATCGCCATGGACGGAGGGCACCTGTGGGGAGGAGTGAGCTATTGAGCTGGTGCCACATCACAAAAGGCTTTCATGGCAGACTAAGGAGCTTGAATTGTAGTCTAGAGATTGTGAGGAACCCCTGGAGGTTTTCCATTTTTTAAACTTTTGTTTGGAAATAGTTGTAGGCTTAACATTGCAAATACGGTACATAGAGTCCTATCAATCATTCATTCAGAGTCCCCCAATGGTAACATATTATATAACTGTACTTTGATATCAATATCAGGAAATTGACATTGGTACAATACTGTGAACTACACTGCAGACTTATTCAGTGTTCGCCAATTTTTGCAGATTTTATTTGTGGATGTTTGTTTTGTTAAACCCAAATTTCAAAATCTGAGAGACCACCAAAGAGCCAGCTCTGATGCAAACACACAAGGGTCTTTATTCAGGCTCGAGTCTGGGCTCACAAACGAAGCCGGCTGTGGCTTCAGGGACGAGAGCCCCGATCCAGCATGGCAAGCAGTCTTTATACACCATTACAGAGGGAGGGGAAAGAACTCTAAATTTGGTTTTACAGGATTGGGTAATCTCTCCTAATGGGTACGGGAACACTTGGTATTGGCAGGCGCCTTTCGTGGGCTTCAACCTGACTGCCCGTGATTGACAGAAACCCACCCAACGGGCAGAGTGGAATGTCAGATAAGTAGGTTCATACAGTCACTGCGTATAAATTAACCTGAGCAAGCAGGCAGATTACTAGCGTCTCCAAGTCTGCAGCAAAGGAATGTCTGAAAGGGGCTTATCGCTTTAACATTTACATCCCGTTGTAAAAGCAGAAGTCAGCATGGCAATTGGGACTAACAATGCTTAACCCAAGAGTTCTAAATACAAACACTACTTAAGACATTATACAATTACACAATCAGTCGCTACCCGGCACCTGACATATGCCTAATTCTACGGAGTCTGAGGTAGGATTTAAAGTACTAAGATTTCATAAAGTACAATGAACATGAGGTAGGGATATATAAAATATAGTGAACTAAACACTACTTTTACAGCAAGTATGGCTTTTTAAGTTTCTTGGTATTTCGAGTCTCTCAGTTTGTGGAGTTTTATGCAATTTAATAGGTTAAATCAACTATTTGGTAAGTACCACCAAAAGTCATAACACGGAACTGTTCCATCATCACAAGATCTCCCTCATATAACCTTGTATTGGCACTCCTATCCCATCTCTGTCACCTGGAAACCACTAATCTGTTCTCCACCTCTTCGGTGTTGTCATTTTGAGAATGTTATATGAATGGAATTATGCAGTATGTAATATTTTTAGATTGGCTTTTTTTTCACTGAGCATAATGCCCCTGAGATCCACACAACTTGTTACACTTCTCAGTAGTTTATTCCTTTTGATTGCTTAGAAGGATTCCATTGCATGAATGTACAACAATTTGCTTAACTGTTCATTCATTGAACCAAAACGAGACATACCCAAGTCCATGTAACTCACGGCTGCTAGTCTATGACATCCGAGTAAAAGGTAGACCTTTCAAAGATTCATATTTATGCCTGGGACCATATGGCAGCCCAGCAGGCTTGGGAATTGACCTTATAAAGCGCACAGATGGGCCCGCGGGGATATTGTGTGGGCTAGCCCCAGGCTGGCTTTCGGGGGTAGATCCAATTCTGCTCCCTGGCCTTGTAATGGAAGACCAGGTGGCTTCACCCTTTTAGGTCTCCTTATTATTATATATGTGACATGAAGGCACTAAATTAAGATTCTACCACATGGCAGTTTAAAAACATGACTGCAAATTTCTTGACACTCTTTCCATTAAGAGTTGGGGTTTATATCCCCTTCCCATGAGTCTGGATGGGCCATGACTGCTTCAACCAGTGACTACAACAGTGTTTCTCAACCTTTTTCCCATTGTCATTCTAGAGACTGTTTAGCTATTTTTCCCCTAAAAATCTCTCCTCATGAAGTTTGTGTGTGTGTGTGTGTGTGTGTGTGTGTGTGTGTGTGTGTGTGTCTCATAAGCATTATTTTATTTTATTTTTTCTCTCTTTTAATTTTTATTTTGAAATTGTGGGGTACAATTTAGGGCTAGCTATACAAATGTTCCTTGTGCAGGTACAATAAGGATTGATGAGGTGTGC